AATTCAGCAGCTCTGCTTTAGATATAATCCCAATGTAAAGAAAAGACTTTTTACCACTTGCCAAGTAGTTCTTGGCTTTTATATGTTAAGCATTGTCATTTGGGAAACTGCTACCACATGCACTGGTTTTTGCCCTGGGATATATATGAGAATATAGCAGAAAGGGGAAGAGAATTAATATATGTGAATTAAAGAAAATACTCTTCCTAAGCAGCTCCATAGCTATCATATAAATAAACACGGTCTCCCCTTTGAGAGCCCGTGGGAATTAGAACAGCTAGGAGGGGAACAAGTTTGAATTAAATACATTGTGTTTGCTAGATAAAAATCAATGGATTATTCAAGGGAAAAAATACACAGCATGTTCTAATCACTTAGCAGCGTAGCCGAGGCTCACGTTAGCTGGGCGAAGCGAGTTAGAAACAGCACTGCTTGGTAGAAATATGATGGATGATGAAGGGATTTTATAAAACCCAGCAAAAGCAAATGGATCTTGGAAGTACTTAAAGACAGGTTTGTTTGACTTCAGGGTTCTCTGAAGTTGGACATGGCAGAGCAGTGTCTCGGTTCGACTGGGAAATTGGGGTGCTGTTACCCACACCGAGCGGCATCCACATAGTAAATAACACCATGTTTTGAGAGGTCCATTTAAACTCCATAGCATTGTTCCTTTTAGTTACATGAAACCTGGATTTTTCCAGCAGATCTTGTGCACTTGATAGTTGCGTGCCCTTGATGTGACACTAAATGGGAGGGACGTCCTGGGTCCGTGGAGGCCTGAAATCAGGGGACGTGAGAGTCACGGGTCAGCAAAGGGATGCTCATGTGTGTTTTTAACTAGCAATCACCCCTGAAGTGGAAAATCCGTAGTCTGAAGCAATGAACCCCCACCTGAGCTGCTGCTGACAGATACTGAAGTTTTATGCTACATTAGGAAAGTTGTGTTGCATTTGTGCTCTAATTCTGTAATAGAGAAGGAGATTCTCCTCCCTATCTGCTCGTATGCTCTGCTCTATCTGACAGTACTTACATAGAAGTAAATGGCTGTCTTTGGGACATAATTGATTTTTTAAGGCAAAAGCAGTAGCTGGAACTCACGTGACTTCTGGTTAAAGCACTTTCCCAGCCCATTTGCTGAGACCAGAGGGCTGAAGACACAGAGACACACACATACACCACTTACAATTCCTTTTCATTTGATGGCCACTGTCCACTGGCAGGGGCACTGTGAAGCCTTTACTCCCACCCAAAGGGAGGTAACCCAATAGCTTTTAATGCAGTTTTGCCCTTGGGGGCTTTCCTTGCAGGCTGGAGGTGGCATTTTTCCTCCGAGCAGACTGCGTTAGCCTTTGGTGATAGAAAAGCCCCAAGACTTGGGTGTGAGAGGGTGTAGGTGTGGAAAAAGAAGTTGGCAGAAGTGAAACCCGAAGATGGTAAACATTTTAATCTAGGAACCAGAACACCGTGGCTCTTAAAACCAGTTAGTTTTCTGTTTGAATTCTTTTTCGTTGCTACAGTACCACGTACAGTACTCCTCTGCAGGCATACCCAGTAGTGATGGACTTTGCCACACTGGTGAGGACTGATTTCTCCTAAAGCGTGGAGATGTTTGGACTTAAAACACTTCTGTCTTTCTGAATCCTTCTCACCAGTCAATGTCAGTCGTGACTTTTGCAGAGCAAACGGCCATCCGGCAATAGAGATCCTCTCTATGGGGAGAGGAGGCACGCAGAGGAACCTGAAGCCCTGCTCCTCCGTGCTCTGTTGCTCTGCTGGTTTGATAAGCAGAACACCTGTGTTTGCCATTGAATGAAAAAGACTCAGTTTTTAAACATTTGTTTTCGCTCTGACTCTGCCGGAGCCTTGGTGTGGTCTGTACCTGCTGGCAGGCGGGCCGGAGGCCGGCTGCATGCGCAGAGCCCATCCCCGCAGCTCTGCTCTGGGGGGACGTAGGCCCTGCACAGTGGTCAGTGCCGTTTCTGGGGTGCACTCAAGAAACACGGTCACATTTGTACTGAAATGTGAATTTTTTCAACACATTTCACCCCCCCACAGCTGAGTGAGGGTGAGCTGGGACAGGAGGGTGCCTGGATGGAGATGTGGGGAGCAGTGAGGAGGGTGGGCACCGTGCCGATGGGGCAGGGGAGCAGGCAAAGGGTGGGGGCAGCAGGGACTTGGTTTACTCTTGCAGTTGATGCCAGACAACGTGTAAGCGAGTAGACCTGCAGAAAGTCACAGGAAACTCGGGTAGCTCTGAACTACTGACTTGCCACCATTTATTGTGGGAGGTGTGGGGAATATTCCTCTGCCTTCATTGGCATAACCCTGGTTCCTGTAAAATCAGCAAATTTTCAGTAGTTGATTGAATAAAGAAAGAGCCTAAGTCTTTTGAGGACTGATCAGGTTTCTCGTTTCACAGAAATAAGATTGCAGTGTTTGCTTTCCTGCCGGGAGCATTTGCTAATGCATTTTCTCTCTCAGCCTGGTGCGAGACCAAGTCAGGACATGCAGGGTTACGAGGCGATGGAGTTAACCACGTTCTCTCAAACTTCAAAGAGATTTTAGCCCAAATCTGGAGGAAGTTTTGCACCCTTTTTTTTATCCCAAATGCTTCACTTACATCAGCCCTGCAGCACCAGCTAGTATTTGGAAACCCAGTCCACAGCTGAGCGTGCAGCTCACTTGGTCCTTCTGTTGGTCACTGTGTCATCTCTAACATTTTGGGAACTCGGAAGAGTCCCATGAGTGAGCAGAGAGAGCACTTCAGCTTTCTGAGCTCCTTAGCGTATTAGTTTCCTTACTTTAAAATAAACACAAATTAAGGGCCTTGCTCTCTCCCAAGAGCAACTTTGACATTGTCAGCACACAAAGAGCAACGGCCTCTACACCGTAATCCCCTCCTGTAGTAACCTGCCTTTTCCTTCTCTCCTCAAGTTCATCCATCCCAGGAGCCTGGCTGGCTGGAAGGGACCCTCAACGGGAAGACGGGATTAATCCCCGAGAACTACGTTGAGTTCCTATAACTTTGGGCGTAAGAAGCGCCACTGCTGAGCTTTACATGGTATCCATGGCAGCCACTGGCGGGAGTCCTGCAGACCATTTTGCTCTTTGCCACTGTGCAATGCAGGGCGAAGGACTTCCCCGTACCCACTGAGATGAATGTTTGTGTGGATAATAACGTTCCTGTCTCCTCCTGCGCTCCTGCGGTGCATGCCGGGGCTGCGGGGGGAGCGGTCCTGGGGAGATGGCTCGACTCCTCCAGCCCCGAGCAGAGGCAGGCAGTGCCCAAAGCCCGCGTCCCAGCTGGGAGCCCTTGCAGCAATCAAAAAAACCAGCAACGCAGCAGCTCCACGCCGCAGCCCGAGTGCTCCGCAGGGGACGAGCCTGCAAACTGTGAACCAGCACGGGAGAGCCACCGAGCCTGAGGCTCCCTGCAGTGAGACTGTTTAGCAGCTGTAAAGAGCATCAGCGGGAGCTGAGGGACCCCAACCCATCAGCCTCCCCGCCAGAGGAAGAGTGGTCAGCAGCGAGGAGTCCTTTGCTCCCAGGCCCTTCCCTGCTTTCCAACCAGCCCAAGCGAAGCTCTCCCGTGCAGCCGGGGAGCAACCCAGCCCCTTCTCG